AATTATAAATATAATCGTTGTTGAATTAAAAAAAAGAAGAAAAAAAATTTTTGCTTCTTTTAAACCGCTGTCACCACTTGTTATGCTTTGATTTGCACTGAATCTTAAGGACGTTCGAGTTCATTTTTATTGAAGCATAACTGACCGTTTTTATTTCTCTTTCACAAAAATATATATATAACAAAAAGAATACAAGAAAAGAAAGAGACAATCACGAACACGAAAGAGTTATAACTGTATGAATAGATGGCAGGATATAACAATGAAATTAATTCTTTGGACAAGCTGTAACTTTTTTAGTTCTTTTTTTTCTACCCTGAAATATTGAATATTCGATATTTTCCATATTAACGAATCTCTTTAAGAACTTTATTCGCGCAAACTGTAAAGTCGAAATTCTATTTTCTAGATGATTTGAGGCGGACTACATGTTTATATGCTGAAAGATTCAGTAAAATTTCAATATATGGAGAACGAAGGTTCGGAATAACAATACTTCGACAGTCAACTTTTCTTATTCTCATCGGATGTTTGTTCTTCGATGGATAGAAAAGTTCCTGATAAGCTTTTATTTAAAAATTGATCTCATCATTTCATATCTAAACTGAAAAGTAAGAGAAATTTTGATGATGTCTTGGATAATGTTCGATGATCAACTTTGTTGAGGAATTATATTGAACATCTGATTATATACTGCTTTTGCAGATTGTGACTGTCCAAAATGAGAAAAACAGCTCCGTGATGGCACGTAACTTGAAGCGTTTTTTCTTCGTGGGCAACCATAGATCAGGATCACTAAATTCATATTTTAGAAAACTAAAATTTGTAAAAATCAGAATCTCTCCTGTCAAGTCTTACAACAAAGTAATTCTTCCTATTTTAGATATTTAATAGAGAAAATAGTGAATTTCGAAAATACAGTTTATTAAAATTTCAGATGATTTTGTTTTTGAAAATCTGTACTGATGAGTTATTTCTAATTCAATCTTTCTGTAATACAAGCAGATGTTTGAAACAACCCCAAACTGAAATCAATACAAAACTTTCATGTGGCTCATTTTTTCTTTTATTTTAGCTAAAAGTTATTCAACTCAAAACCTAACTCTATATCATGAAGTTAGTTCTACAAAATCCTTTATCTAATCACATATTCACATAGCAGAAGAAAGACTGAAAATCTGTTGCATCACTAATTTAGACAAGTTATGAATGACGAAAATACTGATTTTGTTCTGTACAAACATCAATTAATGCAAGTTTAACTCAGCAATACATAAAGGAATAATTAGCATCAAGGCTTTTGTATTTTATGTTATCTTGATAACTTTAGAGATGATTATAGAATTCTGTAGAATTGTATGAATTGTTCATCTATTAAATTTTCATTCGGACTTCAATACAGTTAGTTTTGAGTTACTTTAAAAGTAATTCAGTAGAAGTCGCGTTTACTTTCCTCGTAGCTACGCTCACTGAATCAAACCATAGTTCTTATTTCGTTCGTTTCTCTCATGATTTAATAAATCACTAAAGTCAAAACAAAGAAAAAAAACCAATCAGAATATTCGGTCAAACTACTATTTCATAAGTTTTTATAAAACAAACTTAAAAGATTAATTATTCAAAATGTAATCAATATCAATAGATAGACAACAAGAAAGAATAAATAATGTGTTTGAAAGTTTTGACTTGATAGTAAATGAGATATCACGACGAGTTTCACTAGTAGATCAGAACTTTATGAGCACATGCATTTTCGATTCGTTTCAGTTGTTAAATGAGTCAAAATTTTCTGAATATTTTTAGTTTAATTATGAAAAATTCTCATTTGAAATACTTACTTGTCTTTTGATCATACATTCATTTGTTTACTTGAATCGAAACGATTCGACCATTCCTGTTCTAATAAATGAATTGAACAATTAATTTTTTTTTTGTTAAATATTTATTAGATTCTAAATTAAATAAAAAAAGTTCCACTTACTGGTTTCTTTTCTTTATGAAGACCACTAAAATTTAAACATATAATAAGTGAAGACTAAAATAAAAATTGAATATTACAGTTTTTTTTTGGTTTTGTTTTTAAGTTACTTTATCAGCTAAATATTGATCACCCGAAAATTGCTTTAGTTAACTGATGAAATTCATCGGTTTTATTATTTTTATGATGTTGAAATCAATGATAACGATGAAGATACATGTATGACTATCAATTGAACAAAGTATTCCAAATTGTTCAGTTTCTTTAATTAGAAAATTTTTTATTTAAATAAAAAATAGAGATTGTATCAATGCAACTCATTGAAGATTATAATGTAAAACTTACATGTATTCTTTAGTCTCATTATACTCATACAACATACTTGAAATGAAAAATTTGTACCAGACTATGAGGGATTAAGAGAAATTGAATTTTAGTCAATTTTGCTTTTAAAGTTACTATAATTTTCATATGTTTTCATTTATGAGTCTTTTAACTTCTTTTGAATGAGTCTCCTTCGCGATTCTCGAAAAGGATGTGGGTACTGGTATAGAGAAAACTATTTCAGAATTGAATCTTATCATATCTAAAAACGTCTTCAGTATTTTGTTTTTTTATTTATACGCTTAAAGTCGTAGAATATTTAACTATAACTTTCAGTTGCAGTTGGAACCACCGGTTTTTCTCATAGTTGCTACTATTAAAGTGAAAGTCTATAATGACCACATTCATAAATGATCACCAACAAGATGCCTTGAGAAAATTTGAAATAAATTCTAATGAGAATATTATGAATACGAATCTGACAAACTTCCAAATTTTCGTCTCACATAGCTTTAAAACTTAGATTCACTCTATTTTTCTTCAAAAAAGATGTGAGTTCCACAAAAAAAAACAAAAACAATCAATAATAGTACCATCAATTGTTAATGATAATGGATTAATATCAAATAAACTTTGAATATCCATTAATTGAATAAGTATAATATGTTTTTATACCGAATGTTTTTCACATATGTTCAAGACAATCGAAGAAAAGAATAATGAATTAAATGTGTTCGTATTATTGTTAATTCTTGTAAAAGTTCAATAAATTAAAATTTTTCTGTATAATCACGATATGCACCAAGGAATTCTGACTAAAATTTAACAACAATATACTTAATACTGTCGGAATCAATATATGCTGTTGATATAGATTTAAGTAAACGCTGAATAGATCATATCATGATAATGCAACAAAATATTGTTTACCGAATTGAGTTTTATGTTTACGAATCTATTTGAAAATAGTTTTTATTTTGTTACATTATCTATTCAATAAAATAAAATAATCTTATGATAAGTATAACAACGAGTATTCATTTTTTTAAAAATCTAATGTATGAATCACTTCCATTGTTTTAGCATAAAATTTTCTAAAATCTATCAGAAAAAAACAAAAAATGTATATGAAAAATAATAGTCGAATTGATTAAAAAAAGTAGTTCATTCGAAAATGAAAGTAACGATCCGTATAGATGAGTCAATGTAATGCAAGAAAATTCAACTAGTTCATTACTGTTACAATCAAAATCCAATAACAGTGTCCGACAGTTTAGTACGAGAAGAATTTCATTATAGTCTACGAAAACTGAAATACATCAAATCTCGTTAGGCTCGATATATTTTTTTTCTAATGGTATTATTCGACTGATAAACAATAAGTAGAAAAAAATTTATGCTTTCTTTTTCAAAACTATTGTTTGATTATTGAGAAGTGAGTTCATATTCAGACTTTGCTATCGTATCGAACAACCAAACAATGTTTGTAGAAAAACTATACGTAGTTTTTTTCTTAAGTATACGACCAGTAAAGCTTTAGAAAAAATATCGAACTTGTGAGATTGAATTATTTTATAATATATATATATATTTTTTCTTTTTGTCTTTCTCTCGTCCATGAATCATTGTTCATGTTGTTATCATTGACGATGAATGATCAACATGTACAATTAAATATGTATATCAATTAACCTTTTTGAAATCAACTTTTAATTCATTTTCGACGAGAGAAAAAAAAATGATTTTTCAAGGTATATATACGAATGATTTTCTATGTAAAATCATTCAAATTTTTGAATCAAATAATAATCACTTTTCTTTTCTGTTTTAGACTGGCTTCAACCAAACACTATGAAACAATTCAAAAACAAACCAGACAATAAAATAAAATGTAGGTATTATTTTTATTTTTTTTTAATTTTACGATCATAAGGATGGTGGGGTAAGGCCTCCTTTGATCTTTTTATTATTATTATTTTTCTTTTATGGAATAAACAATGAAGAAAAAGATAACATTAGGGTAAGTCATCTCATTCTATTTCATTAAATAAAATTGATTAAATTTTTTTTTCTGTTCCTTTCAGCTATCAATATCATCGCGTCGTCAACATCAGACACGGTAAGTAATTTTTTTTTTTGAGATGAGAATAGGTAGTGAGATTGAGAGGTTAAGGTGAGACTAAGAAAAGTGAGTGTTAGTAGGAGATGAGGGTGAGTTCTGTCCGTTGAGGGTTAGGGTTTCGTATCTTACGAAGGACTTCCGAGTAGTCCCTAAAAGCCCGGCCAGGAATCGTCTTGGTGTCCGTGGCATACGACCAGGCTTATTCAGACTCATTGACATATCTCTCGAGTGGGAGGGGTACGAATGATATGAGTCTGTCCTGTGCGTGCATGAGCGGTACGCTCGCCACGGCTCCACCAGGATGATTTCCTGGTCACGCGCGCGCGAATAGAATAGACATTCATTTCATCAATTTAACGTGACTTATTTGAAAGGAAAGGAACGCAAAAAAAAGAATCCCTCAGTTTGAGTCTATTCGATTAGAAATCGTTGAACACGATGATTCTCCCAATCGACGACATAGAGATTGCCATGTCGATCGAAGGACAAACCGATTGGACCGTTGAACTGATTAGCTCCGTTTCCTACATCATTTCCACCGACAATGACAGTGCCCTGTTTCGCTCCTGTAGGCCAACGCATCACTCGACGATTCCCCGTGTCTGCCACATAAATGGTACCCAATGTATCGACGAACAGTCCTTGAGGATACGACAATTGTGTCAGAGCAGTTCCATTGCCTTGATCTCCAGCGACGACAATTCCTTCTTTTGCACCTTTATTCCATTTCACTACACGATGATTTTTCTTGTCTGACACGTAGACAGTCTGTTGTTGATCGACAAAGATGTAGGTCGGAAAGTTGAGTTGATTGAGACCAGCACCTTGGCCATTGCCACCAGCCACAATAGTTCCATTCTTGTCTCCTATTTTATATCGTCTAACTTCATGTTCGGTGGCGTCAGAGATGTAGAGATATCTCTGATCATCCATGGCCAATCCTGCACAAGTGATGTTGTCGATGAGGATTTCTCCTTGAGTTGTACCACTACGACGAGACCATCGTACGACACGTAGATTCCATTGATCACAAATAATGAGACTATCTGCTTCTTTGTCAATCAATACATCAGTTGGCCAATACAATTGATTCAATCGATTTCCTGGGCCATTGCCACCAGCTACTACTAGTCCATTCGTATCACCCACCTTCCATTGGATGATACGATGATTGTAGAAGTCAGCGATGATCATCGTTTGATCATCGTCAATGAAGAGACCCCAAGGCTCCCTGAGTTGATTGGTAGCACTGCCTTCTCCATGACCTCCAGCAACAGTCACTCCATTCTGTGCCCATCGGGCATCGACTGGAATATTGGGAATTACTACAATGAACAAAAAAGAAAAGAAATCGTCGTTGTCGAAGGGATTCCGTCTCTCATGGGAGCAAGCACTACAAATACGACATTCATCTTTGAGAATGCTCATTAGACAGATAAAAATTCAGAAGTCTTTTCCTAATTTCCTATGAGAAAAAAGGATTTTGTAACGATTCTGACATCTATGTCACTTCTAGTTCTTGCCAAGATCCTTTTGATCATAAAAAAAACATCTGAAGATTGCTGTAAGAAGGTCCTCGAAGAAAAAGTAATGCTAATTCTATGTGAGCTTTTGATAGAAAAACTTAAGGATATGGGGATTTTATTCAGAATTGCAAGAATTCAGAATCTTTTTGTCGAATGATCATTTATATGAACATCAGAGAAGATTTTATCTGTATCTTGTGAGAAGAATATCGAATCGTTGATCAACAAAATATCAAACCTAACCCCTATGTTTTTTATGAAACCTTAAGGATACATGATTTTCTGCATGATGAATGTAGATCTGCCGAAGAATCTCCTAAGCATTTGCATAGAGAATGCCGGTGAAATTTTATAAGACTTTTGGTAAGTTATGTCAAGCTGTTCGAAGAACAACCGTGATGTACTCTGAGTAAGATCATGAGAAGGCTTAGATACAGGCGAAACTGAACAAAGTTGAGAGGATTCCACGCGAATCTATGTAATCTGAAGGGACTTCTTCTTTTGCAAATGCTGAAAGGATGGATGCCAATTCTAATGGAGCTCTCCAGTGAAAAACATTGGGATTTATGGATTTTATGCGCTTTGGAAAAGGCCGTCGTAAGGGGATAGGCAGAAAGTGTTCTAAAATGCTATTATTAACTTTTGATGAAAACCATCTTTAGACCATTGTATAAGGGTCCTCGAAGAGAACCTTGATGACTAAATAAGATACTCTGTCAAAATCTGAAAATCTAAAAATAATGAGTATCTTCTATGAAGATCATGTTATAATCCTTATGTAGTACTTGTTCTGAGAAGTCTTCTGTAAGCTCGCATGTTATGGATATGTTCAGGAGGATCTGAAGAGTAAGTATTTTGAAATGGTTGATATCAGGGATGGGCAATTGCAAGTCCAAAGTTGATGCTTTTTCTCATCAGAGTGAAAATGGAATTATATGGAGTAGAAACAGGACAGAATGGAAGTGCCTATCTTTGAATTTTATGAGAAAGTTTATAAAGTAGTAAATTAATGTGCTACTAATTGATATCAATTATAGATTTAATTATGTTCAAAAACTTATGTGTATTTAAGAGTGTTTTGACAGAAGTTCAATTTTCTAAAATCCTAATGAAATTGAAGTTAAATTGAAGTTGGAATAGGATTTTAGGAAAAAGGAGTGGAATGGTATGGGGTTGGAGTGAAACACACTGCAGTTCAAATTGATGTGGAGTTTTAGAAAATAGGACTGGAGTTATGTGGAGTTGGAGCGGGACATAGTGTAGTTGCTTATCTCTTTTTAATAGACAAATGTCGATCCTAATCAGCATCCATGACGCCTTCTCTGGAATATTGAGAATTACTACAATGGACAAAAAAGAAAACCGATCGTCATTGTCAAAGAGACCCTCTCTCTCACACGGGGAAAAGAGCTATAAAGGAGACATCCGTCTTTTTTGAAGAGAATTTAGTAAAACTTTCGAGAATGTTCTTGCCTCATATTAAAAGTCAGAAATCTTTTCCTAGTTTCCTATGAGAAAAAAAGGATTCGGTAACGATTCTTACATTTATGTCGCTTTTAGTTCTTGCCAAAATCTTTTTGATCCTAATAACAACATCTGGAGAATGCTGTAAGGAGATTTGTCCAAGAAAGAGTAATGCTAATTCCATGCAGGCTTTTGATAGAAAAACATAGAGATCTGTGGATTTTATTCGGAGTTGCGAGAATGCAGAATCTTTTGTGGGATGATCATTTATATGACTTTCAGACAAGAATTTAAGTAATGAAATAAAGAACTATGTGAAACTCCTAAACTGAGATAATCCTGAGAAGATTCTATTTGCATCCTGTTAAGAGGATATTGAATCGTTGGACAGCACATGTCAAACCTAATCCCTATGTTTTTGGGGAACTTTGAACATTCAGTATGCATCTTTGATGATGCTTTTCACATGGTTCAACACAAATCCAGATCACATGATTTTCTGGATGATGAATGCAAACCAGTGGAAGGGTATCCTAAACATTGGAATGGCAGATGCAAATGAGATTTTATCAAGCTTTTGTCAAGTTATGTCAAGCTCCTCGAAGAACGATCCTGATAGAATCTTAGTTAGATCCTATTGAAGGTTTGATGCATACGAAACTGAGTGAATTTGAGAGAATTTCACGCAGATCTTTAGAAACTGATGCCGTCTACTTTTGAGATGCTGAAGGGTGGGTCTGAATGGAATAGTCAGATAGTGTTCTACAAAGCTATTATTAATTTTTCCTGAAAATTAGCTGCAAACCATGTATTAGGATCTTAAAGGAGAATCTTAATGACTAAATAATATACTCTGTCAAAATCGAAAATTCTAAAAATCATGAGTACATTCTATCAGAATCATGTTATAATTCTTATGTACTATTTGTTCTGAGCAGCCTTCTTGAAGTTAACATGTCATGGGTATGATCACGAGGATGTCAAGAATCAGGATTTAGGAATCGTTGATAGTAGTGATGGATAACTCCAACTCCGAAGTTGGTGCTTTTTCTCATTGGAGTTCGAATGGAATTTCGGAAAATAGGAGTTGAGTTGCCCATTTCTGGGTTTCATGCGAAAGCCTATAAAGAAATATCCAATAGGAATGGGAGTTCAGAAAATAGAACTGGAGTTGTGTGTGCAATTGGAGCGGGACTTAGTGAAGTTGGCCATCGCCACTTAACACACAAATGTTGTCATCGTGGTTGTCGAAGAGATCCCCTCTCTCGTGAGAGTAAGAGCTACAAATACAACATTCGTCTTTGAGAATGTTCTTTCCACATATAAAAATTTCGAAGTTTTTTCCTAGTTTCCTATGAAAAAAAAGAATTTCATAACAATTCTTACATCTATGTCACTTCTAGAGTTTGTCAACATCATGTAGATCCTAAAATGTCGAATCTTCGCGGTGGATGAAAACTGTAACGAGAGATCGGTGTAAGGAAGCTTTTCGAGAATGAGCAGTGTTTATGGAATGCAAGCTTTCGATAGGAAAAAATAGGAGTCTGAGAATTTGATTCATAATTTTGAATCCAGAATCTTTTGCAGAATGATCATTTATATGAATATTAGACAAGAATTTAAGCAATAAAATAATGAACTATGTGAAACTCCTAAACTGAAAAAATCCTTAAAAGGTTCTATCTACATCTTGATAGAAGGATGTCGAATCCTTGGACCAGAAATGTCAAACCTAATCCTTATGTTTTTGGGGAATCTTAAATATTCAATATGTTGATAGGATCTTAGCAAGATCATAAGAAGGTATGTATGCATGCAAATCTGAGTAAATTTGACAGGACTCGATGGGAATCTTTGGAATCTGACGCCTTCTACTTTTTGAAATACTCAGAAGACTAATGTTAATCTTATCACCGCTCTCCATAGGGAAAGATAAGGACTTAGTTAGCTTTCTACAGGCACGAGCTGAAGATATTCTTTTTGTGACTTGGAAAGCAGGGGCTCACTTAGAAAGGTCAAAAGGATAACGGTAAGATATTATCAGAGTTTCGATAAGATTTGATACAAAGCATTGTCTGAAAATGCTAGAAAGGTTTCTATGAATTCGAGACAAGAATCTTTGCTAAAAAATAAAGAATAGTGTCAGAATCCAAAGCTGAAAAAAATACTCAGGTGTTATTTGCATCTTATTAGAATGTTGATGCTAAATATTTGAGCTAATATGAGTGTGACTGGATGTGAGTGTTCCTATTCTTCATTGGCAACTACGCTCACGCACACCTCAGAAGAATTCAATGTTGTGGGTGTGGATGGGTGTGAGTGTGGCTGGCATTTCTTTACTCACACACACCTCACACACATACACCCACACCCACATCCACACCCTAAATTCAGAGAGGACTAACCTGAAGTGGTTTGATGGAGATCCGATCAACTCAGGTCCAGTCAGATTCTGAAATTTGACGTGCTTGAATTTTCAGAATTGGAAAAATTAAATTAAATAAAATCGAAAAAATGTTATAAATTGCTTTGAGAGAAACAAAAATGAAAGAAGTCAAAGGTTAGGTTCGATCATCAACATACTGTAATTTTGGCAACAAGGCACCTAAAAATACTGTGCAACAGTACTCAGTTGAGTATTTCATCAGTACCTTCAAGAACCAATTTACTGAACATTTTGTAACAGGGTACCCGATAATGTACTTTAGTACCCAACAGATCCTCGGACATACTAGTAGCAGGGTATTTTCTCGGGTACCCTTAAATCAGTACATTCACTAGGGGAGGCATCAACTCGCACATATATGAAGAGAAAAAAGTAGTCGCACGTCTTTAAGAATATCCTATTCTTTTTTTCAATGATTGTTCAAAAACTGACTTGTCGTTCTGATAAAAAAAATTAGAGTAGTCTATATATAATAATTTTCATGTCAGATGTGCTCATATGAATACAAGTAATTGGAATAAAGATCCCACATCTAAACGTGTTTAATTGCTTTAAAAAGAACGAGAAAATACGAGTAAAACTATGTTTTCTTAACGAATATTTCGGCGTTAATATGTGTTTTAGCCTTTTAACACGGTAGCAGTCGTGAAATTTGCGCTGAAAACAAATAAAAACACTTAATTTAACTTGTTAAACGAAATCGTTAGAACGCTGTTTTTAAATTATTTCAATATCTTATGTATTTTTGGTGAGTCATTATTAAAGATCCTCTAGGGCACGAGTCAATATGTTTTTGCATACGTCAAGTACCTTTAGTTGATTTATATATAGTAAGTGATATACATGAAGCGCATATAACAATCAAAATTTTCGCTAGGCCTATTCTAGCGGTTCTTCTAAATGATCAACTAATTAGTTTTTGACTAATCCTATATCATTCGACAGTGGAATGTTTACACTTTACCGGAAATTAAAAAGACTTTAAGATTGTCTGAATTCAGATAGGGAAGAAAGGGAGGAGACCTTTAGAATATAGTGCATTTTTATAGTATCTGAAGTCAAATGTTTTAATAAATTGAAATAAAGCATCTTTGTTTGAAAGGCAACATATATCGTAGTACCAAACGAAGAGAAAGGACGGATTTTGTTTTGTAGATATCAATAAAACGAAGCAAAATTCAATAGTGACAAAAAATAATCAACATGGGGATTACTATTAATTGATTTTTTTTCTCATAATAAAAATTTAATCACTCATAATATAAGATTGCTGATCTTATCAATACTACCTTTAACTAGCTGCAGAGTAATATTGCATACAAAAGAACTATATATACTTTATTAGAAATTAGCGATGGTCAAGATCAAGAAGTGTTAATATAATGCTTACCTAGTTGCTGAGTAGTTCTTGCAGTTGTCGTTATAGTTGACATTGACGTTGTAGTTGGCATTGACATTGTAGTTGGCATTGACGTTGTAGTTGGCATTGACGTTGTTGTTGAAGTGTTCGTCACTATTCATTATTACAGAAAAATTTATGTAATCAAAGCAGATAGTTTAGGTCTGACATAGAGTACGATGTAGAACTCGAAGCATTTCAGGTTCAGATGAACTATAAGCAGGGTTTCAAAGTAGAACACCGATCTCCAATGGTTTGAAAAAGGATCTGTTTTCTTTCAAAATTGATTTTTGATGGAAAACGTCTATGTCCATCGGAGATCGAAAACTCAGTAAAATTTTCGATAATTCTATTCGATTTGATGCGGCTGAATCAAATTAAATCAAATCACAATGAGTGGAACCAAATCGATCGAAAGTGTTCTGCTTAAATTCATCGCTTCTGTTATATTTTAAGCACAAGTAAAAGATTTAAATGTACTGACTGTCGTTGCAGTACAAGATCGTTATTTGAAGTATGAAGTTTGTGATTTCAATCTGTCACATAAATTGCTCACATGCCAGTGTTTTCGTCGTCTTAGACCATTAGAATACTCTGTCGTCACATCAGTAGTGTGAGTGAAATGGCTTCACAGAGATACTCGAAAGAACCGAAGAATACCGTACAGATAAATTGTTAAAAGCTTTCTTTCTTGTCCCTCTTGTCATCGGACGGTTTGAATATTGACATTCTTCTCTTAAGAAAGAAGTCTCAAATGTTTGATACAAGCAGACATAGTTAAAAAATAATTACCCATACCAAGAGCATCCTCAACATGCATTCTGTTCTTATTAGTATTTTTCTAAAGAGGCTGAGTCAGCGGTGCTACAAGTTGTGAAATATAATATACATACACAGTTGCATTACTGATCATTAGTGACGTATTCATTCAATTCAATGACTAAAGCACTCTTGAGCTCTAGCGTTTTCTTCGTCATAGCTAAATGATCAATCTTCAATTTCGCAAGATTAATCATTAAAAATATGACAAAGAGAATCATGAATACGTTTTCTTTCGAACTAGATGCTAATTGCAGTTGTCTTGAAAAAAGACTGCCGAATAAACTCAATATTCACTAGACGCAGTCGAGTATACAACAAAAACTGTGAATAAAGAGAAATGTGACACAACAGAATTGAGGTGCTATCCTGGAGATTCTAACGTATGACATGTTCTGCAGAATCGAATCGAATGATCAATTGCTCAATTTGTTGCGGTCTCCGATGTACATTAAAAAGTTCACTGCGTCTTCATGCATTGATAAATATAACTGAAACCGACTCTGTCTTTCAAATTAATGAATATAATCCATAAGAAGAGATGAAATCTTTTTTTCCAATAATTACAATTCATTTTGTCTCTGTCATGTTTTATCTACTTTTTCAAAGGTTCTTCGGCTCTTCCCCACTACTCCTACACTAACGTGAACTGCATATGTGAGGGTGTGTGAATGTTGAAGAAATAACTTTAAGAAAGATTCGGCTTTCACTTGAACCTGTAGATCACTATTTGTTCTCTTACTTGCTATCGGTGGACAGAGTTGTTGATTGAATCTGGGCACCGGATAACAAACAGGACGATTATGACATAGAGGATGATGAATACATCTTTGATTAGGTTCATCACAAAGATTGTCTGGGCTTTTACATGCAACTAGCTTAGAACAATCTGTGGATATAGCGGTACAAATGCCAGTGTTAATAGCACCTGCTATATGGAAACAGGCACATGCACTATTTAACGAACATTGATTATATTGAGGAATCCCTTGGCAGAATTGAGATTTCACTCGAACTAACGAAATACTAAATAAATAGAAGGACATGTAAAAAGAAAACAAGAATCAAACCTGTAAGGCTTAAAAAGAAGATTGTTCAACATTAGATGAATGAGAAAAAAATAGATTTTAGAACTACCTGAATAGAACGAATACGAAACAACGAATTACTGTTGAAACCATCGCTTGCTTTAAAATGAGACAGAATGGCGATAGCACCCGTCTTTATATACCATGAAGAGATAACGTTTTTCACATTCGCCAAAAGTGAAGAATCGCACCACCTGTTCTTTCGATAAATAGAAATTTGATATGGCTCCACTGCTTTCTCTAAGCACTCAACGTTTCTCCAACAAAGTAATCTTTATAGAAGAAAAAAAGCGTCGTAAAACCAATATAGAATTGCTTCTGCGATATAAGCATTTAATACGCTCGTTCCATCATTCGAAACATGAATATTGTTATTGTCAATCATCGACTTACTATGTAATGACAGCCTAGAACAATTTCAAGGACAAATTTTGTTTTTAATATTTGTACTTTTATTATAGGCAGCTTACAAAAATTTGCACCTTCATCAAATCAAAGTCACAATCTATAGGCAGCAACATGCATTTATACTTTGGACTTTGTCGTCGTTGACGGTTTGGATGCGGGTGCGGACGTGGGATATGAGTGTGTGGGCATCGGGTGTGAGTGTGGCTGAACACACCACTAACAATCACACCCACACCTAGGCATGCACCGAACCCGAACATTCGGGTTCGGGTTCGGCCTGAGAGTTCGAGTTCGGGTTTGGTCGGGTTCG